CACAAAACGGTTTGGTTCTTCATGCAGATTGCGGTTCTTGGTTTAAGACTTCAAAACTAACTCTATTCAGTCTAATCCTAAAACAATTTTGCGAAATACTTCTAAGAAAAAGAGTTAACCTCTGTTCAATGAATGACAAATTTAATCCCTTCACTTGCAAAACTGACTAGTAAAGGAATAGCATTTGATACAATGTGTGAACAACTCTTGAAACTGTAGATCGCTATCAAACACAGTTTGCGGATCGCAATTTTTTTTTCGTTTGTGTAAGGCATGACATCTAAAAGCATTGTAGAAACTATTTTAGTATCAAACTTGGTCATTAAGTACGTGTATCTGCCTGATAATGTATGCTAATCAAAAAATAGAGCGAGTCAAATTTTGGACTGAATGAATAAGTCGAGCTTACGAAAACGCAAGAAAAGCGAAATGTTTCTAAGTTCATAACAAATTTTAACTTCAGCTGCCAAGTTAACTTTGTAGTTTTCAATTTTTTTGTTTTCTTATTTTGCCGGCTTTATGACTGCTGATGTACAAATATTGATGGAAGAAGCTTTAGCCGACCTTTTTCGTTTAGTCAGACAGAAATGTGAATTAGTAGTTGAAGATCTCTGGTGGCAATTTTCAAATAACAAAAGTAAAGAAACTTTACCTTGACGTCCTTGACGTGTGTCTCCTTCAGTCCTTCAGTTTATCGTAGGGTTGATCGTGACTAGTTGTTTACACTGAGAAAAGACAATTTTCTTTCTTCAGTAGGGCGTTTCCGAGTAAAAACAAATATTTAGTTTTGACAGCCAGTAGGGAAAAACATGCTAAATTAATTAGTTTGATGCCTTATATACACGTGACCAAAGTCGGTCGGAAGCGAGGTAGATATTGTTTCTTTTTTTATAAGATTATATTATGTTTTGTAAGAATATCGGGGCTGAAAGTTGGGACATTTTTTAAATGTTTTTAGAATAAACGAGAGGCTGAGATTTTGAAGAGAACATATTTTTTGTGTGTTTTTAACTGAACCGTATAAAATTTTTCTTTTCTCTAAGCGACAAAACAAGCCAAAAAAAAAAAAAAACGGCACTAGTCGTATGTTCAAATAACATTTCTGGAAGACAACAATATCTGCGTCATCAGGTCTTAGAGTAATTGCCAGTAAAAATCAAAGAAATCTTAACCAGGGTGGAAAAATCGATTTTGCCCATACTTGGCCAGTTTGAAGGCCTGGGTAAGGAACTGAAGGAAATCGAGTTAGTTTTCTAGGAAATCTAATACAACGGCAGAAATTAACGTAAAACGGCCTTTGTACTGAAAGGTCAAATTACACTTTGCGATATTCCAAAATTTACAAATTTCAACTTATTGCTGCACAGACGTTTGCATGGCTATGAAACGTTCTCAACATTAAAGGCATACATTGATTGTTCCTTAATCAAGATATAGTGATTTTTCACGTTTCTTGAGTTTTCTAAGCGAACGGAGCCCGGAGGCACACTTTTCTGGTAAAAGAAAACTTTAAAGTTATGCAAATTTAGTGAGGAAAAATAGCTGATCGTTAGGGCTTCAAATCCTCTGATATTATAGCTAAAGACAGTTCGGTCAATGAATTTTAGGTTTTCAGTTTCATTTTGTGTGATCTACCAGCCGTTTTGCATGAACGCTGATCAAAATTTGAGAGATTGCAATTTCGCCCTTTTGAAATTTTTGATGAACCACAACACTCCCAAATAGGTAAAAATCTTTTGTTCGCTTGAGATAGCATATTAAAAGCATATTAAGGTCTGTAACGCGTTTAAACGAGTATTAAACTTAGATATTTCCTGTTATGACGAAAATACATAAGTAGAACCAAACTTAATCACACTCTCCCTGCTTTGAATCACCCATGATATACTTGGCCGACGCTAAAAACCTAACACGTGTAAATCCATTGGCTCAAATAATGTCAATTCCCATCTAAAAAAATCTCTTTTGAAGTAGGAGATTTTGTTTTAATTATAGAGAACTGATCAGTTGACCTGAATGTAACACCGTTATTGAGAGTGTTATGTAAAGGAGTAATAAACGTGAAAAAGAAAGATTAATCTTGATTACTGAGGATAGAAGGCAGAATCTACACCACGCCGGAGGAATTTGAAAATACAGCTTTCTTTCTCCGGTTAGGCCTACCGTCCAAGCTAATCGTCACGAAGACGGCGCTTTTCGAAAATGCTCTTCAAACCGGAGGACGAATATATTTGAAAACACAGACTTTTCATTTTCCCTGTTATTTTTACTGTTATTTTGTATATTTTATTTTAGTATAGTTTTATGTATTAGCATTTTAGAGTTGGCGCGTCATGTTTGAACCTGATGTAACATGATAAAACAGTTCTTTTCTACGTGTTACTTGACATTTTTTCCTTTTTATGCAATGAGACTACGGTAAATTTATACTAAAACAATTATAGACTACTCGCCCTCGTTTTCTACGAGCGATAGTCAACTCGGCTACACCTCGTTGACGATAATATAGCCAATCAAATTCACGGATTCACAATAGACTACGGTAAATTTATACTAATTAGATTTAGATTTAGATTTAGATTTTCAAAATGGAGCTTTTCAAAAACAATGGCGTGACGATAATCAGGGGTTTTCCTCAAACACAAATCCAGGAGACTTAGAAAAACAAACTTCCGGCGTGATTTCGAGTCAAGATTAACTTACAATAATGTCAATAGTAAAGCTTTTATTTTTTGTTACTTTTCCTAGCAGTGTAATTGAGAATTATTCCATAGAGAATTCTCTCTCAATGTCGGAGGCACAGTGGCCTCATGGTTGGTGCGCTGGTCTCCGGATTGAGTAGTCCTGATTCCAGTCTTGTGGCCCGTTTCTCAAAGCTCCCGGTAATTATCGGGCTTGTTTTAAAGCTGTTTTCTTTTCCATTCCAGATGAGAGTTTCAAAAGTTTTGAAAATTATACAGTAAAGCTATTAGCTAAAGAAACAAAATGGAATTCATTAGAGGTCAGAACACATTCTACTTTTCTTGAGACTTTGATTTCAAAATGTGATTTCGGGCCCGTTACGTTATCGGGTCTTTGGAGAAACGGGCCCCTGACCGGGGACATTATGTCGTGTTCTCTCCTACCAGGAGCATGCATGGGTACTAGAAAACTTAATGCAGGGGGTAACTGATGGACTGGCATCCCATCCAAGGGGGGAGTAGACATAGTCATGCGCTCGCATACAGACTTTAACTGGCCTACCTAGCTATATTTCTCAATCAGCGGAATTTAGTTTCGTAACCAAATATAGAAAACACTCCCTGTTGTATACTTCAAACATCATGATAATTTCTTCAGTGCCTGATGGGTAACACAAAACGCAACTGTTTTAATTAAGCTTTAATTCAGTAAAGATCTCTTTTAGAAATGTGTTATGTCAAATTAATAATTGGACGGCAGTGTGGTATAGTATAAAGAATGACTTCCTGTTTCTTTCTTGTTGTGAAAGCGACATATATGAACTCTTTGCTGTAGAAATTGTTGTGCGGTTTTCTGCTTCTATGAGGTATCGTCAATACGAATTGTAAAGTCTTCCTGATTTGACTTAAAGAGTTGGAAATGTGGAAAGAGAAAAAAACTGATGAGCGCGTACACAGCTGCAAATTTCAATTTTGTTTGTTTTTAACAGTCACTGGAGGCGATTCTGGCCAGGTTCATTACTATCGGCATATATTTAAGTTGAAGAATCATATCTAAGTAATGTGTGTTTAACACAGCATATATAGGCCTATTTGATAGATCTTTGCTACCTATGTCATTAACTCAAGTAGAATTAGCCTTAAAACAGGCAACTTCTAAATCGCACTCACCTGTATCCATGTACCAATTCGAGCCTATTTGAATAGTATATGAGAAATAATTAAAACTTCCCATGCACAGATTTTTTTTGTTTTTTAGTCTAATAGAAAGACTCAGAAAAGGAAGTGATCTGCCGAAAAAAAAGTGGGTGTCACCGAGCATCCAACAAAAATATTCGCAGATTAAGTTACCGCAAAGGTCATCAGCTCTATATTTTGTTGAGTTTCGACTCGGTGCGCGCGCTTGAAATACATGAAGTGGCACTCGCCACGTCATGTATAGCGTGCGCACAAGAGATGCGCAGTAGCAATGGGCGCGAACGTCCTTAAGGTGGCCGAACACAGTTTTAGCGCGCGCTTTTGCTGATGCAAATTAGCACGTGCACAAGGATTTCAAAAAAAAAACTTGCTGTCAACAGAGCGATCATTTTATTTGCTCAACACCCGCACTATCTGTGTTATTTTTCTCTATAATTGCATGCAGTGTATTGATGGCTTTAGTATTTTATTACAACGATATGTTACAAAAGGTAACGATGCAAAGTACCCAGCATTTTTAGCTTTTATTTGTTACCGAAAGAACACAGTTAAATGCAACGCATGCGCAGTTGCTCGAAAAGTTGAGACCGATTACTTTAGCAGAAACGCGCCGTTTTCTAGCGATCCAGTCGTTAGAATTTCAAGAAATTTGGCAAAAAACTAGATCAGAGACCACGTGAATGATCTATCACAAAAAATCTGAATTTTGACAAGGGAATTTTTAATAATACAGGAAACGATTAACGGCGAATTACGGAAATCGGCTATGCCAAAATTTTATTAGAACAGTGTTGATAAAAGGGATTTAATGTCACCTCGTAGAGTGCAAAAGATGAAAACAATCTAACGACTGGACTTTTTTTGAATAAACAAAAACCATTATTTAAGCCTTGTTTTTAACCAGCCCCGTTGCCATGGCAACAGCATGCACCCTTGTCAAAATGCGAAAATAAATACTTCTGTAATCAATCTAGACTTTTGCAAAAAATGGGCGCCAAAGCATAAATAGTTTAAAAGTTATGGTGAATTAGGCATAGGCTCTTGAAAACTGTGTTCGGCCACCTTAAGCGTCCACAATACTCTGGAGAAATTCGAAAACGCAGCGTTGTTTCTACTGCGCCTAGCTTTTTGTAAACGCTCTTCAAATTGGTGGAATTTGAAAACGTCTGCTTTTCCTTTTTTGTTTGGAGGGAAGACATTCGAAAACGGAGCTTTTCGAAACGATGACGTCACAATGATGACGGGATTTTCCTGACCGAGTTTTCGTCAAATACAAATCCAAAATAACAGGTGGTTGTTGCTTTTCTAAAGTTCTCCGAGGCACATGTATTCAGGAGGAGGCCCTAACTTCTGAGGTGACAATCGAGCTAGACTTGCCCCAAGTCTTTGTTTTTGTAGACGAGCGAGGAAGTCACGGGGAGACAAAAACGGACTTTGAGAAAGTCTACAATCGAGCCAATATGTGTCAATACTCTTTGGATAAACTTGTTGAAATCCTTGAATTTAAGAAGCAGCTGTGTTATTCAAACAATTGAATCCATTTAAAATTGTTTTGATAATAAAGAACTTAAGAAACGGAAAGCATCGCTTCAATACAAGTTAGGTACCTTCCAACTCCGTCAACTAGAACTCGCAGAACGGGAGATGTGCAAAACAAGAGCTCGTTGTTCTGGTCAGAAACGGCGTAGCTGTACACGCATTGATATTCGTTTGGGGGTTTGTTGCTATCTGTGTCTTTCGCGAAAAAGCACACTGTAGCTGCATCTAGATCATACACGATCGAGTCTTCTAAAATCGCGTAGTCTGTGGTGGTGCGCTCTTTAAATCTCAGTTGGTACTCTGAAAGAGAACCTGTCAGTGAGACCAGAAAATCAGAAACATTTGAAAACATATTTTAATCATAAATAAATGTCGACTTCAAAAACAAAATCAAATTCGTAGTCAGTAAAATATCGCCCCGCCAAGATCTTTTAGTAACGCTTTAATCAAATTGCTCATTTAGGTATATTATTGCCCTATACTTGGCTAACTTTGTTGCGGTTTTCCAATAGCACCAAGCTCGCAGCCTTGTTTTTGTAGCTGTCATGAACGCCTCGCAGTCTCGAATTTTTTGCAAGGCTAAGAAAGTCCCAAGTACCGATTTGTTTGTTTGTTTGTTTTTTGCCTTTGATAACTTCTGAACGTCTTAAAACCTGAACTCCCCGAGTTCGCATATACACTGTTATTTTGCCTGATAAACCTGCGCAACTTTTTCGATTACGGTAAAGGTTCAGGACGTACCGATGAACTACCGCTCATCATTAACTTACCCTGACACGGAGTGCAATCATTTTCTCCATAATTATATGACCTCCTCCTTCCTCTATCATTTCTTCTAGCATCCATGGTGGTAGCGAACAAAAGCAAGAGCAGAAAAACGGTCCAGGCTACCTTCATTTCCTCTTCAAGATCAGTGAAGCTAAAAGAAGAAAAAAAGACTACGGAAAATAATTTGATTCAACAACCGCTTCCAAAATCTAGACGAAAAGGTAGCTAAGAATAAACTACTTTAGCGAAAAGGGTAAAATTGAGCCCGCCACATTGAAAAAAGAGAAACTAACTTTTTGTTTCTTCCCTCAATACCAACCTTTTGTGTACTAAGTTAAGCAAATGCCTTCTCCTTGTCCTGACTGAAAATGAGGAGGATTGCTCTGACACATTCAATATATGTCGGGGCTATTGCATCAGGTGCTAACATGGTAGCTTCATGGAAAACAAATGACAAATGAAAAAATTCCTGGATTTTAACAAGGTTTCGTTGACAACCAGACAGTGATCGTCTGGTTGTCACTTTACTTAATATCTTGGCCAATTTTACGTTGCACGCAATTCTCTTGATGTTGCTTTTTCTGTTCACAAAGAACCTAGTTTTAATCGTGACAACAGGACAGCAGTCAAACAGGGTGGTTGGATAAGTGATGTGTTGTCAGAGTAGGCTCAGTTCATTTCAGTTAAGCTCCCTATGTCTTGTACCACGTGACTTGTGCACGCACGTAAACAAAAATTCTTGCTTGTAAAGTAGGTTACATTGACTACTTAGTCTCTGCCACTTAAACAAAACTTGCAAAATTTTAGACGTGCGCGAATTTCATGTCTTGTAATTTTTTTGTTGAAATATTAAAACTTTACAGAAGAACCTTTTGTGTCACTGAACATACAGTAGGCAGCGTTTACTCACTTAGAGGTAAAATTAATTTGATCAAATTCTTAAACAATTTCGTATCACCCGCCACGTTTCATCTATTCCATTGTGTGATGTACGTGTGGTAGCTTCGTGGACCAGAAATGATTTAAACGGAGATTCCTGTTCTTTTTAACCTGGTTACAGCGAGTTCTAATCTTTTATAACATGATATTGCTTGCATTCTTACATTGTGCCATTCAGAAACTTTTTTTTCACGAAATACGTTAGATGTTACCTCCTTGTTTTCATTTTTATTGTTTCTACTCTACTGTTTTAATTTGTTTTACTTCATTGACAGAGAATCTAGACTAAACAAAACACAGGTGATAGCTGTTATGAAAAGGAAGTACCTACTCTTTGAATAATGAATATCTCTGCATGATTTTGCTGTTTTTGCGGCATAAAGCAAATGGAAACAACATTTATTCTCAGTATCTTTCTTCTTGGTAATATAAATATTGTTTGAGCTAGAAACAGTTGTTTTAAAATGCATTCATCATCATCATAAGGCAAATTATAAAACTGGGAGCCTTATTAAACGATTGTCTTAAGTTTTTTTGGTGTTAGGTCAGTAAATCTGATGGGAGAGTCATTTTCGTTGCTTGTATCTCTATCCACTGAAAAACGTGCATATATATATACTGTAGAGAGCGTAGTAATTTATGACGCTTTTTCGCTTATGGGACTTATTTGATTAAAAGTTGTAAACGCTTGTTCGGTTTTCGAGTCTATCTGCCAGATTTTACATATCAATACAAGCAAACGTTTAGTGTCCTCACTTCCTAATACGGATTCGTGTCGTTTTTTCGAAAATGTTATACAAAATCAAACAATCTGCTTCTTGAACAATAGCAAATACTAATTATTGTTTGAAAGGGAAAACGGCGGCTTGCTCCTGAACTCACCAGATGACGTTTATAAACTCCTTCTCCTGTTGTAAGGCTGTCGACAGGCTGCTTAGCATCACCAAGATGGCCTCCAGGTACAATGGAATGGCCTGGCCGCCTTGCACCGGCACACTAGGACAAGAATCAACAACGATTGTTATCCATGTTCATGAAGGGAAATGCCATGGAAAACTCACCAAACAAAATAAAAGCATAAAGTTTTAAAGATCCCGGAGACTCCTAAAGCCGGATCATACCCCCAAAAAGATCCGAAGATTGCTAATTTCCAAAGAAAGTTCTCTTCTGAACTAATTTCGAGAATCTTCCGAAGACTTTTCCGAACACACCCTAAGATTAAAAGTTTCTTAGTATTTTTCTTTTCAATTGGATTGTTGGTAGTCGGAAGAAATTAGTAGTTGACATTGTTTAAAAAGAGCCGTTTTCTTTAGCGTCGCGCTAAACTTCACAACAAACATTTTACATGAGAGAATTAACATCGACAAAGAATCTGGATCGAATTTTACCAGTCAAACAGAGCGGCAGAAAAACGCCGACACTGTTTTCGTTTTTTGACGTAAAATAACTTTTCCAGTCTTTTGACATATGTCAACGGTTTCCAATCAAATGGAAATTAGAGGCAACTGAAGGACAACGAAAAGCAAACAGATAATATCCTCAAAAACATTAAGTCGGTGCATCTGTTTTCTCATGCTGATGCGTAGAAAACTATAATTTGAAGGATGAATATTCAATTTATTTCTATAGTGTTTCGTACCTGGGCGTTATTCTTTCCACAGTGATTCCTCACTGAGCGACTAAAAACTAAGTAATTACATGAGTGCTTTACCCTTTGACGACTAAATCACATTCATGTTTTCGCAATCAAAACCACACAGGGTGACAACTTTAACAACATTCCATAGAAAATTTAGCCTTTGTATCCGTATCTAATTTTTGTTCAAAGCTTTACCCAAACAGTGTAAATGAAAAGTTACAATTACTTTAACGGTCTTTTCGAGTAATTTGTCAATTCACTTGTAAAGAATTTGATTTCATAAACTGCTTTTTTTTTGTTCTACGACCTTCAGTATTTTTTGTTCCAAAGTAGGCATAAATTCTTCGTCCTAATACCCATGAGAATAATACATTCAATAATTACGAAAATTTGCTTTTTGTTGTGCCTCAAATTTCAATGTTCTCCTCGGGACAATCACACTGTTTTATTGTAGTGCGCATAGAGGAAATATGACTAAACATATGCAGGCTTTACCACAAAAAAACTTTAGCTAAGTATAACTTAAAAAGCCAAAAACGCAAATTATGTTGTATGGACAAGTCCAGTTTTTTCACCACTAACACATAGATTCCCATGTTTCAACGTAAAATTTATCATGAAGTGCCGCTTTTGTTTGAATTGTTTGAGTTATCATTTCCACTGCGGATGACGCGAAAGTTCTCAACTGGAAACGAAATGTCGGATCTTACTGCGCAGGAGAAGGAAAAAACAGACAATTCAAGGCGAAAGTGCTTTTTAGAAAGTGTCATTTGGATGGCCACACGCTAAGCTTTCATTTGCAAACTCAAAACTCAGAACCACATAATTACGCCAGTATTCAGTGATGATTTTGTTATTATTATTATTTTTTTCGCCTTCTTGCTCAATACGTCGAGTAAAACGATCGACATTTCTCCTTACCTTGGTCCAGCGGTGAGCCGGAAGCAGAAATGCTTCAGTAACAGCACAACGTCTTGACTTAACAACTTGGCATGGTCGGTAGAGAGCAGATTCGTGTCTACATACATGAAGAGAAAGTAAAAGATTATTACGTTGTGTCTCACCACCGTATTGAAAAGCACGCGCAGGTGAAATGGTATGACTTTGGCAGGAAATAGAGCGATTGTTTCACAAATAGAGCACCGGACTAAAGACTATACATAAAAAACATATTTACTTACGTTTCACTATCCTGGAGTCCGTTGAAGTTTTTGATGTCTAAAAAAGGGAGTTACACACAGTACTTTATTATCGGTACAGTCATTATGGAAGAAAACGATGGAACTACGCAACATTCTTGCAAGCTCTAAGAGCTCTCATTGTTGTGCTCTACTGTAACTTTAAAAAACTTATTGATTAATGCTAAATTGATCTTTTATTGGGCTATGAAGTTAAGCTTTATCTCAGTAGTCGTGCTTTGCGGTGAGGGTAGTTTGGCATGTGTAGTGGTATTTCAAGTCACCTCTATGATACACTTATAGGAGTTGAGCATCAGCTCCCGTTGAACCAGCTTGTTGCTCATATCCCAGAGATTCCGATGCACTCAACATCAAAGCAATAGCCTTTAATTGGGGCGAAAATATATAAACAGTAGCCTCCATTTGGCGCAAAAAATATGTTGGGATATTTGTCCGCGGACATTATCTGTTCCGAGAAGCGAACAGTTTTCCGAAAGCGTAGCTCGAGGAAAACTGAGCTTTGAGGAACAGATAATGTCCAAGGACAAATATGCCAGTATATTTCTATGCCAAATGGAGGTTTGTGTTTATTATCCTTCAAATATTTTTTTTGCAACACGCGCCGGTTTGCAATTTGTGGAATATTTTAGCTGGGGAATATTCGGTCGCGTGACGCGTTTAGACCAATCGCGTGGAAGGGAAAATATTTGATGGATTACATGCTCGGATATTTTACATCCATTCCGAAAAGCGAACAATTTTCTGAGAGCAAAGTTCGAGGAATACTGTGAACTTTTTGGACGAGATAATGTCAAAGGACAAATATCCGAGCATACTTTCCCGCCAAATGGAAGCTATCTATTATATCATCCTTCTAATACTTTTCGCAACATGCACGGTCTCGAAAATTGGAGAATATGTATATCTTATAACCCAACCATTAATTTTCGAGTGATTTTATTGGCTACTTTACGTCACGTGGTGTAAATCGCCGGACAGTTATCACGCAATAACCCCCGCCCGAGTCGATATTTGTCCTCCGATTGTTTCCGTCGAGGAGAAACATAGTCAGCGCAAGAATTTTAACTTTTTTTTCCCTTAGTTAACATAGAAGGAAACCAAAACTCGTGTTACTGAGTCTAGCGATAGTGACATTAAAAAGCTGATGGCAAGTGCTGTTCCGGAAAGTACAAAAAAGTCACCAAAACATGCTATCAATGTCTTTGAAGGTGAAGAAAGTCACGAGTAGATCAAACGTAGTCCTACGCAAATTTAAGCCGAGTCATTTTATAAAATAGAGATTTAATACACTGTGATTACTAACTATAAAATAGACCAACCGTTCACGTCCAACTTTAGCGTAGAGGAAGGAGAGAAAAACTTCCAGTCGCACTTGAAAACATGGAGCCGGCAGAACTGTCAACCATGTTGAAACGCTTTTTACGCAGAAGCCACTGAGAAAAGTCAGAGGAAGGAAAACCATACAGTCGCAACTCTGTGAAAGCCAATTCATTCCGAGCTTCAGTTAATCCGGTCAGCTACGCGCCACAAAATTCTGGCCGTTTTAACGCAGTAACCTCATCAAAGAGGTTCTCAAAATAAGAAAATGACTGACTGAGGTTTTGTTCCAAACACTCTGAGGGAGATCAAACATATAAAAATATTCAAACATACAAAAATATTCCAACAGGGGCTATAACTTACTTTTAAACGACTTTCTTGCACAATGTTTCCAAAACAATGAAAGCTATAGATAGCAGATGGTCAAAAATCACTTTTAGTTTTATTAAGGATACTCGAGTCCATCTAGGTCGGTCCTGGTTGGTACTCCGGCTGAGTTGTAAATCAGCATTGAAGACAGTAAAATAGTCAGTGTAAATATACAGTGATCATCTGCGCCTTCTCCTGACACATCATCGATTCCCTCCGAGTCCAGTAACACAACTGTGACTTCCAGTCCATTAGCGTCCTGCGATAAATGAGACAGCTGTTTAACCTCTCAGTTACTATGGACGCTGTGATCGGTCAATAAGCGGGTCGTACTCTGTTGTGCCGTCGCCTAAAATTGAAAGCTGTTTTAGTTGCCAAAATTTCTCGGAGTTGATTTACCGCAAGGTGTTCTTAATTTCCAAACAAAGGATTAAAAGTTTCCTTTAATTTAAATACTTGTGTATTAAAGACCTCACCTTAATTAAATAATGACAATATATATACCTGGAATTTTTCAGGCACAATCCACATCCATATTCCCATTGTCTCAGGGTCCAGCTCATGACCAAGGGGGAAAACCTCTCCCTGTTCAAAAGCTTTACTTAAGATATAGGATTTGCCCTTCCTACAAGGCCCTGCAATGGACACCACACAAACAGGGCCTGAAACAGAATATCAAAATGAAATCAGTCATGTGTATTCTTGGCATTGTTCTGTCTTACTAAGAGCTGCAAACGTTTCGGAGCTTACATACTAACGGTAGGTTTTTCTTAGCTTTAAATATTACAAGCTTATTAAATGCGAATGGCAGCATCAATGACCTTTTTGCTCCAAACGCTTTTCGTGACCATGTCTGTACGTTGTTTTCTAAATGGAATGCCGGAATACATTGATTCACCGTGGCCTAGGTTTTATTCTGGAATCGCAATTGCAATTAAGCTACAAGAAAAGCTAAAGCGAATTATTGAATTGATTATTCTGAAGTTGTGCCTGTTTTTTTTTGCAGTTTTGAAGGAACTTGTATGTGTGATCCAAATTTATGTTCCTGTTTACATTCGGTTTGACGATTAACTGACCGAGCGCTAGCAACCTTGCATGCCGATGCATTTGATTAATTCTCTTTTTTTTTTCTTGGGAACGTCTTCATCTCCAGTTAATTAATCATAAGTCAGCACCAATTTCTACATTAGAATTCAGATGTTCTTCTGCCCGGTCACATTATGCACAAACTAAGATATTTTAAGATATTTTATACACCGCTACCTTTCACATTTTTCAATCGCTCCAAAGCAGCCTCAATAACGCAGAGGCCGGTCCTCTCTTCTTCCTCATCTCGCGTGTATTCCCCAGTCTATTCATCCCATTTACAGTTGTTTGGAAGACACAGTGGAACAGCACAGTTTTCTGACATTCTTACAGCTAAAGTAATCCATTAAGGAGGCGAAAAAGGATATTAAGTTTAAATTTAGTATAGTTCAGTCTCTAGGTTCTACCCTTCGTGCACTCACGGTTTTTTATGTATACGGTCAAACCCTCTAGGTTTATGAGAATGGGACATCATAGATCTTAAAAAATTAAGAATTGACCGAGTGGCACAGGATATGGGATCTTCTAGACTTAAAAAAGATTAGGTACAAGATTAAAATATCAGCACTCGATCCACATGAAGTGTTTTAAAAACTGTCACGCGTGTCACACAATCATGAGAAATATTTCACAATACTCAAAACAACACTGCCAAAGTTTATAAGCTTTTCTAAAATACATTGATATTTGAAAAAAATATGATTTTAGTTTCTGTGGCAACTTGCATTTTGCTTACTTCCTGACAAAGCAAACACAGAAGTGAAAATGTTTCTTAATTGAGGTTTAATTTGCTTCCGCTTCCACTGTCATCGTGTTCACATCGAATAATAAAATCTATTACTTCGTTGCGCCAAATTTATCGCGCTCGTATAGAACTGTAGAATGATAACTTGCATAATTTCTGAATTGAATTTTAATTCTCCCCACTTTTGAAAAAGGCAGAAACTGTTAGACGTCAATGGCATTCTTTCCACTGCAGTTTTAGACGAGGTGGGAACAAAAACAGAAGAACGAAATTTCCAATAATTGCTCTTTTAACTACTATGCCTTGTGTGTAATTCTCCTTTCCGTTAAAATATGGGTAAGAATGCGTAGTTATTAAGTGCGAGATCCAAACACAAGTACGATTATGCTGTCTGTGCCCATTTGTATTTTGTATTCCTAGTAGACTTTGCAATTGTAGCAAAAACTCAAGAAGGGAACCAATTTAGCATGTCTGTTGCTTGGGTGCAAGGTTTATAACCTCAGCGATCCAAATTTTGAAAGCAAAAAACTAATCAAAGCAATTCTTACCTTTTTATACGAAATCAAATGGACGCACCACCGCACAGCTTTTACGAAAACGAAACTTTTCCGGCCACCGCTAACTATTCCGAGAAATTGGTTATTTCCGGTTTGCATAAATAAATAAATAACTGAGGGAAAGTTCGTTTAATATGAGAAGGGGGGTTGGGGGTGAAGATATTGAGGGGGGGGCTCCGAAAATTTTAGACACCCGAAAGGGGGGCTCTGAAAAAATTAGGAGGGGCTCCTAAAATATTGAACCGCTAGCGAGGGGGGGCTACTAAAATTTCAAGCTTCGAGTTTCAATATCTTCATCCCCCTTTCCCCCCCCTCCCCTTCACCACTTTGTCACATTAAGTGAACTTTCCCTAAGTTATTTATCGCACCGAAATCGAAAGCAAAAGTCATGGGAAAATTCCCTGCATTTCGGGGAAATATCCCAGAATTATTCTCAAATCACTTTCATCTGTGCACGAATCTTCGAAAGTGAAAGTTTTCCTGTTTACGACATCGACATTCTGGGAACTGAGAAATGCCATTACGGCGCATGTGAATTAAAACAGTGACCAATTTGTTTGGTGGTTATTTCGTTTTCAAATCGGCGATCGATCAAAGGTAAGTAAGCCAGATCTCTCGCTTTTTCCGCTCAGTTTTGCCACTCACCGTATTTTTATTTGGTCACAAGCGTTTTGGGTTTAGCAGGCGAACTTTTAGAACTATTTGCAGATATTAAGAGGTCCGTTACTGACAATGGAGGGGTTTCGATCCACTCCTGGTTTGCAACGCGATTACACCAAAATATAGAATTAGTAACGTTGGATCAGAATTGGATTGATACATTGTACGCATGGATACACACAATGAAATGATGTCCCAGAGAAAATCACGAGCACGGCATGCTAAAAGCTAGTATAGCTTAGAAATGTAGCGTATAGATATCTCGGCTATGCACTGGTGCGTGTAAAAAGTAATTTTAAATAGTTTTTATTCAGACTTTCCCGTAAGTCGACTTTTAGCTATGCTCAGTTTGCTCTGCATTGCTTTTAGTTGAAACATGTCTAGTCAAAGTGGTAATTGTAATTCGTAAGATAATATTTTATTCATAAAAATAGCTGTGACATAATATATTAGAAAAAAGAGGTCGACAAAATGACACAGGTCCATTCCTTTCGCCTCGAACTGTTTTCCTCCAATACTGCCAGGATCAGTCTTAATTAATACAACATAAGCTTCTGTTACTTTACTTAAACGAATAAGGCATGCACTGTTCTCTAGATCTTGGCCTTGACCAATAACATGTACAAATACCTTCTTAATTCCCAGAAAACCTCAAGGCAAACAAATCTGTGACGTACGCATCAATGGTCACGCCAGCTATTCTGGTCGCATATATGTCGTACCTGTCACGATATCGAAATATTCCTAGACACTCCGCTGAGTTCTAAGCTGTTGCTGACACAGCACTACTTTTCAGACTAAGGGAAAACTGCTTGCTTTTTAATTTGCTTTTGCAGCAGAGATAACAGGTTTGTTTCAACTCCAAGATGTCTGAACAGTGTGCAGTTCCACTGTGTCTTCCAAACAATTGTAGATGGGATGAACAGACTGGAGAATACAGCAAGACTAGCGGTGCCAGGGATAGCCTCTACGTGGTTGATGCCGCCATTGAAAGGCTCAGAAACACCAAAGGTAGCTAGGAATTCTGATAAATATAGATGGGACTTGGAGCACCGCAAATTTTAATTTCATTATTTGAACCGACATGATTACCATTGGAAAGTGAAATGCTCAGGAAAAGTAAAAAAATATGTATCATCACAGCATTTTAAAATGAATGACTTAATTATACTATATTATACTAAATTCGTTTGCATTTTGTCGAACTGCTGAGAACTACGATAAGGGTTCTGGTGACGGTGTAATTATAACGCGAGGGTTCCGCGTTAATGAACATCAGGGAGATTTAGCAATGGCAACGGCGACGGCGGGGACGAGGCCGTGTAAAAAATGATTTTATATTTTTCCTTCAAATGTCGCAACTCGGTAAATCTGTTCAATACGCCTATCGGTCTAAAAATTTGCTCAGGCTAAACATGCACCTACAGCGTTCAGTTTATAAAGAAGATACCATAAAAAAATTAATTAGCCATTGCGGTTCGCGTTCTCCAAATACATAGAACTTGGTCATTTCACGTTGTTGTTTTGCAGAGGACGGCAGAGAAATGTACAAAGATTCAAAAGGCACGTGCACAGCTATTGTTTTTCTCACAAACCTTTTGTTTCGTGAAGTTCTCGTTGCCGTCGCCTCCGTGGTTTGCTAAAATTCCCTATCCAGTCATGGAGGAGGCCACCTTGTTGTTCCAAGCTTGGCTGCCAATTACATATCCATGTCTACCGTTTACTCGGGGAAGCGAATTCCCTCACGGTTTGCGCAAATGGTAGACAAAAATCCCGAGGCGAAATATCGAATGAGATTTGACGACTTCAAAGTCCATTTTGAACCATTAGAACTGAGCTGAGTTCCGAGAATGCAGGTGGAAATTTGCAGAATGTCTGTGATGCGAAACTGAGACAGGTAGCTAAAAGCATATGGTAAGCAGGTTTTATGTTCATAAATACTGCATCCAGTTTAGCAATTTTGGACTAGCTCTCAAGACGATTTGCTTAACTTATGAATTTTTCTTTCGGACAAATCAATTCACATTTGCATCCCAATAGGTCATTCCAGACCTTCGTTTCCAAACGAGCACTCGTGCGAAACTTTTCTTATGAATTAAAATGAGTTTGGGTTGCATGAAAATGAACTTTCAGATTAAACGATCTAAGGGAAGTGGTCAAAACTATTATACAACCTCGGGACCCACCGTAATGAATGAAGGTGACAGCTTCTGCTTATACCCCCCCCCACCCTTGTCCAGAGACCCTTGCTTTCCTTTACAGCCCCCCTACCTTGAAAGACCCATGGTGTCCTCTATAGCACCCCTCCCCTTGAAATGGAGACTCATGGTGTCTCTTACAGCCCCACCTTCCCTTTAAATGGCGACCCATGGTGCCCTCTATAGCCCCCTCCCCTTAAATGGAGACCTATGACGCCAACTATAGCCCCCCCTCCCCTTAAATTGACACCCATGGCGCCCTCTATAGCCCCCCTCCCCTTTAATGGGGACCCATGGTGCCCTCTATAGCCCCCCTCCCCCCTCCAACCTCCCTGAGAGTCATTTGTGGTAAAAATAGAATATTTTAATTCATTAAAAGGCAGGGTTTGAATTTCCAGAATTCATAGCATTTATCACGCTGACTTGCATTTCTCAATCGTCTCACTTTTTGTCAAACGAGAATTTAACTTAACCACCTTCCCAGCAAAGAAACATCCTTTTTCCAGACTATTGGCTAAACTACGTCGATGTTACAACAACGAACGATGAATTGTAGTTGATTCGTGCTTTCTCATTTCTAATCGCGCACAACGAGAAAGTATG